AACCTGATGTTTTCTCCTCAATAACATCCAGACTATGATTTCCAATAAGAACCTTGATCCTAAATCTTTAAATCACAAAGAAATAAAGATTCCAGACCACGATAATCTTAAGGGATATAATAGAAAGAGTTATATCATACAACACACATACAAATGCCATCCTTATATCCAAATGTACACCTCTCCTTGATATGCCACCCTTATCCCATGGTACACCTCACCTTGATATGCCACCGTTATTTACTCATCAAAATATTTCACAAAAAGAATTCCAAATAGACCGCAGCCATTGAAATTATTATCAATTCAAACTCATTTATATCAAAACTTCATTTTATGATAAAATAACAATTTCTATCCTTTAAACACAAGGCACAACTCAAATCCGGTCAACCTAGGCTTGGCCGGACTTCATCTCCGGTGAAGTCTGGCCGGTTTACCAAATCATCCGGACAACTTATCGCCCAAGACTTGTCCGATTTAACACTTAGAATAAATTCCAACACCTTTGTCCGGATAACAAGTCCGGACAATACATCGCCCAAAGCTTGACCGATTTAAAATAATCCGATCACCACATGGTCGTATTCCTACTTCTCAGTTCAAAATGATAACCATTCTTACTAATCATAACCCGCTTAACATTTAACCGGTTTAAGGCTAAATCGTTCAACACTTGAGCGGTTTAAGGCTAAATCGCCCAACCCTTGACCGATTTATAATAATCCGGACAAGCTTTGTCCGATTTAAACTTAATCCATTCACCCTTTACCCGGATAAAACCCTTAAGCAAATTACTGATTTCTTTCCAATAATAATCAACATTCAAATAAAACCAGTAACAAATTTTATGTAAAAATGTTTATAAATCACTCACCTTAACAAGCCTTTTGAAACCAAATACTTGAAATCAGACACTTGCAATCCGGTCAACTTTTTCTCTTTAGATCGCTCAATTTTTCTAAAAAGGCAAGAAGAAGAGAATGGAGGCTTCAACCTCCTTTTATACTTTCCCTTTAGGGAAAGTCGGCTACTAGAACCATATACCATGTGCAAGCTTACAAAATAAATCCCCCATGCATGTATGTAAACCATATGCACATACACATGCATCATCACATATACATATATACCTATGCATATATACACAAATATCATGCATATATATATATATATATATATATATCCAATTAATGCATAATTTCACATACTAGCATGATCAAACATATCAATTTATAATACTATCACGTAATCATTTAATCAGATAATCACACATTAATTACCTTGGATGATAATCAGGATCCGGTTATCACATAATTAATCCAAAAACTTTTATTTTTATTTTAAACTACATACCAATCTATACAACTAAAATTTCATTTTTATTTATCAATAATTATATAATTATATCATTTTAACATTATTTTTTATTTATCTCTCAAATTTTTACATAATAATTAGCACTTTTGTTTTTATTAAATCTTATTATTTTAACAATTTTTTTATTTATCTTTCAAAAATTTACATAACAATTAGTGTAATTAAAAATTTATTTTTATTAATTTCTAATTTTATTTACATATGAATAAATATAATTTAAAACTTCTGTTTTTATTTTTATACATATATATAACAAAGTTAGGGACTGCTTGACAGTTGTTAAATGGTTTGGTGTAGAATGATTAAGTGGTCAGAATGATTAAAAGACTCTCATGATATAGTGCAAAATGGCCCCTAATTAAGAGACTCCCGGTAAGTGAGGGTGACGACTCTTACCCGGGTAAGTGCTTACCAAGTAAACTGTTGCATAGGATAGTTTTGATGTAATACAATCTTACCCAATAAAATAAATCATAGTGTTGACTTCTAATATTAAGTACTTACCGGGTAAGTATTTAGGTAAACGACCCCTAATTAAGAAGTAATTAAAAGAATGCCCCTCTATATATAATCAATATATACATATAGCGGAATGTTTAATTATCGTGAGAATATAATATTAAATTATAGGTTATGTGTGAATCATTGAAAAAATCAATTTGAAGATGTATATCTGAACTTATATGAATAATCTGTAATGTCAGTTTACATATGTATCTTCAAATAGATTAATTTTTTGATTTTTTCAATAGTTCACAACTTCGGGTTGGATTGGACGGGTTGACGGTTTTGTCGGTTTTTTGTGCACACCTACCTTCAATGATAATATTTTCATTATACTGTAATGTTTTCAGTACTTATATTCTCAATTTCGACCTTTGACAACTGATTTTCTAAATTTAAGAGACGGATTGAATGACAATGGAGCCGATTGTTGTGTCACGCATAAGGTAAAGAGCAAAACAACATCAGCTTTCATCAGATACCGACAAATTTAGGGTAATAAAGACGTCATAAATTTATTGGACCATTTTATTCCGGTACGATGGGAATTCACAAAAACACAGATTTAGCATAAATAGAGTAAAACGGACTGGCACAAGGATGATCGTCGCATATCATATCTCAAGCTGCTTCTGCAAATCCAACTAGTAAATTGCCATAATCAAACACTGTGTGATATGGACGCATGAAAACATCTCCGAGGATCCTGCATTAAAATACCCACAATACTAAGCATAAAAAGATCGTCTAAAAAATTACAATATAATTTCTGATCGGAAACACAAGGGTAGTTTTAGATTTTATTATGTTAGGAGGGTAAAATTGTTGGTAATTTTATTGTGATTGTGATTTATATGGGATCGATCGACCTAGTGATAAGGCAAACATAAGTGAGTTAAGAGGTGTGGAATGCACACTCACAAATGTTGCCACTTATCACCTTAAATCGCTCTAAGGCGGGAGTCACTCCCAGGTCCTAGGGGAAGTGCCCTTGGTGGTGGTCCCGCTAACCATTCAGGGTCGACAGAGGCCGCCCTTGAGACCTGAGACCTCTGCAAATTTTAAGAAGAGATTTGCTTAAGAATTTTATGTTCTGGGACGTTTTGAACATATTTCAGAAGGTTGGGAACCTTCTAGAAATAATGTTAAAACTTGGTGAAAATGACCAAGTGTAGTTCAGAAGCATGTGTACTCAGAGCCTCTGATCTTGGTGATCAAAGTTTTTGGACGCTCTCTGGCCCACAGAGCCTCTAGATTTCTTTTGACGTTGCTTCTGACTCAGAGAAGTTGTAAAACTGTTTTCTAATCTTATCTGTTAACGGTTATAAATGTTGTGCACTTATGTCTTGACCGTTTTACCCATCTGTAACCGTCGATCTCTCATATAAATATGTGAACAAGAATCCAGGTATATATAAGGAATATATCTTACAGCCTTAAAGATCAGAGTATTCATTTGGATTTTCACTATACTAATTTCTTGCTACCCTATACAATAAGGGTCAAATTATTGTATTCGGAAAGGTCCTAATAGAGAACATGTAGTAAAATAATGTTTAAAACATGGGTAAAAAAAGGTTTTTACTGAAGTAGAATAGATAATTACCACAGAGGTCCAAGAAGAGTTGCATCCATCGCAGTGAATCCACTGATGCATTGTGTTGCTTCTCCCTTACCGACTTTCAAGATGTACTGATCAATTTCGTAGTTGGTTTCCAAGATAAAATATTAATTCAGATTATCTATTAAATTCTTTCATAGTCGTTTACAAACATAAATTGGATAAATGCTAATCAGGTAAAAAAACTAAGAGAAGAGTACGAATTGGCACTAATCATTGATAGAGTAAAGGGGCGTTTACCAAACCCTACCCGGTACCGACAAAAGTCAGCACCCTTACTTATCTTATCGGATAACATTACTAAGCCATCAAAATGAATTGCTGGTAAGTGTTTGTCACCCGTTAAGCATGTATCGAGTAAGAGTCACCACCCTCACTTACCATGTAAGACTCTCGATTCTTACCTTCATTCTTACTGGGTAAGATTACCCGATCTCTGGTATGCTAGCTCTTCTTGTAAGCTAATTGACCCATTAAGCACTTATCTGATAAGTGTTTGGTAAACAATCCCTTAAGAGTCCCTCTCTTAACTTACGAGATCAAGCATTTCGGTCAGTATCATGGGCCGGTAAAAGAGGTTGGTAAACTGTAACATCTTTGATCAGTTTAGCGCCTCTTACCCGATAAAAGACAGTAAACGGGTGCAGACCCTTAAAAAAGACATGTATATGTTTAAAATGGTGTTAAATTATCACCTGCTCTGGGGTGAGCCCAAATTTTTTGCCACCAATTGTAAAGGAAACATTGGGCATGGAGGAAAGAGTGTTGCAATCTACTTGTA